ACAAAGCTCAAAAGTGAATTGAGATATGGCCGTTTTGACCATGAGAATTAAATTTTCATCCATGCCCATCAATTACTTTAATTTTCTTCCAAGAAACACTTTTTCACCTAATCCTACATCAACATTATGTCGTCTAGCGAGTGCACAAAATTAGAGCGTGTTATTAAAAAAACTAGGTCAAAATGAAACAAATGAATAGCTAATAGTGATGCTTATATAGTCAGGTCTATCGAAAAGCACATGATTGCTTCATCAAAAGATATGCCAGATGACCAGAAAATAAAACAAATGAATTCTGCTGGGAGTGGCCTCTGTCACAGATCCTCCATGCTAAGAATAAACAATAATGCATTCAAGGAAACTGGAAAATAAGTCGGAAAATTGAAAAAAAAACAACAATAGATTAAATAAGTACCGCATTGCATCTTCCGATTATGTGGATTAAGCAATGTGCATGCATGAACAAATTATATAAATAATTGATTGAAAGCATTGTAGGTTGAAGTGGGGGTAGAGACCACACATTCAATTTAAGATGAAGCGTGCTTCATGCTTCAGTCAATAAATCTCTAATCAACCATATTACCTAATTCATCTACCGTCAAGTAGCCCACAGAACTAATTATAGTTGGTGCCAGCCGATGCTAAGAGAAATGCAAGAGCAATTGATAAATAGAGGCTGAAAGTAGAAACATAATTGATAAGCGAAGAAAAGAAGCTGAAGCTCAAGATAAGTATGTACTTCGAAAGAGGTGGTTTTCAAGGCTTCCTCTAAACATGAACTCATAGACAAGTAATCTGTGATCATCCTCGCAGCAGTAACCAATCAACTTAACAAGGTTTGGATGTCTCAGCTGACCAAGAAAGTTGACTTCTGTCTGCAAAAAAGCAACAAGGGGAATGAGATACCAAAGAGAGAGAGAGAAGGGACTTGGAAACATGACTTGTATGGTGGCGTGGGAGAAGAGACATACAAGCCATTCTCGGTGGCCCTGCAGGCCTTCCTTGTTGAGAACCTTGACAGCGACAGGAAGAGATTTGAGGCCAACCCTGACGTTCTCATCAATGTAGCCTTTATAAACAGTTCCAAAACCGCCCTCTCCGAGAATGTAATCGGAGCGGAAACTCTTGGTGATCGTTTCCAGCTCGTATAATGTGAAGGCAATAACATGTGTGTAAAGCACCGAATTGTTTCTAAAGTCCTCGAGGTTGCGAGGGGTCGAGGGATCGCTTAGATCTGATATGGACCGGTTATGAATATGTCTTTTATTTGGAGCATTGTTGCTGGCGCTTTTCACAACCAAGGAAGACGATGAAGTATGCAGCTGTTGAACTGTGTAAGAATGAAAGCTACTATAATTGAGTTCATAATTGCAGCAGAAGCGTCCCCATTTAAGAGACAACAAGCCCATCATCGCTTTAGTTTGATTCAGTTAGTTTCTAAGTTGGGCATTAGGCAAAAATAAACAGAAAGCGCGCGTACAGATAAAAACCCTAGATCCGGGTTTTCTGAATGTACCTTGAGCATTGGAAACAACTGCAGGCTCTTCTCTAGTACCGCAGTTGCCCATCTCGTCTCCACTTAGTTTGCTGTGGCTGAAGTTGTGATTGGAACTGTGATGCAGCAGTTCTGACGGCGGTAGGCTTGGCTGGTGTGCTGACTAAGTGGACCAAAAACCATTAAATTGACAAATCACTGTTGCAATGGTTGTGTAGTTGTAGAAGTGACAATGACAGCATCAGTGGCAGAGCTCGGGGGAGAGATGGGATTGTTGCTCCAGACTTTCATTCTTCAGAGATATTGGCTTTTATCCTTTTCCTTTCCCGGTAACGATGTTAAACACCAACCGTCCCTCCGCTGCTTTAAACTCTGCAGTCGCACAGTCATGGTATGGTCTTTGGAATTAAACACTAGACGTCTAAATAACAAACAGTACATTCACAGTTGGTTAAGCCATAATATTTCAACACTGGTTCGAGATAAGTACAATATTATTGTATTAATAGAATATCAATTTGTATTACATTTCATTACTCTTTTAAGGTCATAGACAACCTATTCCTTATCCCGTTTTCCATATACCATGGACTGGGACACCCGTACCACATAGCAGTTGCGATTACAGCAGCAACGACAAGCAGCCGATGGAGCCTTACGACAATGAGATCAGTGGTACCTTCTGTGGATTACAAATTCGTACTCCCGCTCGGGTCCATCGTCTATGCCCCTTAAACCCCCTCGTTTCTACTGGCTTACCAGGTAATTCCATACCCTCTCACTTGTTACCTAGGTAGCCCCCTCTAATATATATTTTTTCTTCTGCTAATTCCTGCGTCTCTTCTGCCTTTTTGCATTGAATGGTTCTGCAATAATTATTTTGATTCTATTTGAATTAATACGCCCCTTTTTAGGCTTTTCATCGGTAACGGGGGGGGGGGGGGGGGGGT